CGTTCGACACGTCCGACAATCGCTACGTCTCTAATGCTGCGCGATCGTTACATCGGACGACCGATTGTGAAAACCCCCTAAGGTGTATATCGACAATCCTGCGTAAGTCACTTATAGGCCAAATCGCAATTTAATGCCACCACTTTTCAAAGGAAGTTGAACGCGTGGCGCATCTCAAAAAGAAATCGGTCAATGCCAAATTCTTATCCTTTCTTATGCATCTCATACAGTGCTATCTACGTTAGAGATGGTAGTTTTTCTCATGCAATGCCGCTACTTATGAAATTATTTCTGCCTGGATTACCTTGAACATAGTTGAACCTCCTGATAGCACAATATTTTCATATAAGCCTCGACGGACATCGATTGGACATTGTTGTATAACATTATCGATCGTATCCGAAATCGGCGTTGTAAAGTCAGGATTAGCAAACTGAAAGCAAACAACACTTCGTAAGAAGGGATTATGTGCCGCGAATCGGACATAATTACCATAATTACTCTAGCGAATAACAACATGAAACGAAAGTGAACCTCAGGATGGAAGAAAATCTCAGGACCAAGGAAGCGCTCGTATCCTACATCGACGACGAATTCCTTCTTGGTGATATTATTGATACCGTGATAGGTCTTCAACCACTTTGAACCATCGGTATCGTATTTTATAAATTCTTTGAGAATATCCGGACAAACATAGCAGTACCTCTCCTGTATGGAATATGATATATGACAGTTTCAAGCAACTACGAAGCTCAAACACAACCCACCTTGATCGCCTTTGCCACCTCATAGGACTGATCCGACGGGATTGTAGGCTCTCTATCCCTCAAGATCTGTTGGATGAAATAAGTGATGTCCCTACCAGCAATGGGAATATGCTTGATACATGATCCTATGACGTATCCCTCCGCAACTGGTATACAATGTGTTACGCCGTCTCCAGAGTCAACAACCTTGAAAGACAAGAAAATTGTTCCTGTTCTGTTTAATGCTTCTTATATTTTGAAACAGGTGGCCTTATATGTATGATCTAGGGCTACATATACCTCATATTCCCAGAGCAGATGTCAAATGAAGGACTTCTACGCTACTCTCGCCTTAACTTGCGAAGGTATTGCATCTGTTATCCATATTAACACGTTGACGACATCGCGCGTTTTGGCATTTTTGGCCGCGTGGGACCAAGAGCGGTTCTGCGAGCGCCGCCGCCTCACAACAAATCTGTGGATTTTGAGCTTTAAATACGCAAAACTCGGATGCGACAAAATGTTTCCAATGATATTCGATGTGTCAAACTTATCAGAAGGTACAGTTGTAAAAATTGATCGAAATGACGTGTTATGGCCATGAAAAGGCAAATTTTACTTAATTTCCCTTTAGTGGTTCCAAAATTAATTTGGACGTGTTGTTCAGTAAAAACACATATCTTCCCATACGAATAGGTTTGTATTCACTTCTATTATTCTTTTTATCAACATGTTCACGTTAATGAAAAGAAAACGAGGAATGAACTGAACAGATACTTTGTAAACGTAAT